TCTTTACGTGATCATGGAATGCGTGAAAAATGTAATAAATATATCGGTGATAATAGGTTAAGAAGAGAAAATTAAAATTTGCAAACTTCAGCTTTATAAGAAAATGATATTTAATAACCAAGAAAAAAGAGATCTGATAAATCACTTTTGTACATATAAATTTGGCAAGTCAAACACTTATTAGAGAATTTCCTAGTCAAATGGTATTTAACACATGCCAGCACTCTTGGAAGCCGTTAGCCTGAGGGTAAATTTTAATCATGCGAGTTGCGTCGAGTGTATTCAAATCGGGGAAGCCCCCATCGCGTCATATCGGCACGATCATGGATATTAGCGTGATCGCCCACAATCAATTATCTGTTATCAATAATTCATGCTGAAAACTATTTTCTCGATCATTTCGAGCAGATCGGCTCTCTTTTATCTTTGCTACAGGGTGGTCTTACTCTTGATACGAGATACAAAGTTTTTCAAGCATGTTAACGAACATCGAACATTTTTGGAGAAATTCTCTCGAGTAATTTTATCGTTTGTACCTTGAAATTTAGAAAAAAAAATATTCTGAACGACAGTTTTCCTAATTATTTCGCAATAAACTAATTTAATTTTCCTAAAAATTTCCATTGATATTCATTTCCATAAACTGACCTCCTTTCATATTAATTTAGGTATACTGAATACAAATCCTAATTCTAAAAAGTTCATTCACATTGTAGAATAAGTTTCTTCCAAATGGTTAATAAGCGATTGAATAAAAAGGTATCGTAATCACCTCTGCAATAAAGATTCCTCTTTTCGTATGCATATTTGTATCATTGTACCATTTTAATCTGCAAGAATTATGAGAATCATTTTCCAACAGTCCTCGTAACAACTGTTTTCCCGATTGCTACATTCTTTCGTCGATCTTAAGTATCGACAAGTATCAAATTCCGCGGAAGTATTATGGAGATGAAGCTGATCGCTCGAATAAAACGCGTACGACGCGGAAGAGAATAGGAGCAGAGCTAAAAGCTCTGTTCGCACGGTCGAGTGTTGAACATTCAGATCCGTGATTCAAGTTGTACGATTGTTCAAGTCCATAAAAGTTGCTTGAGCGCAAGTAATGAATGGTGTACGAAAACCTCGCGAGTTATTAAAGATGCATATGCAACGCACACCTACGAATTCTTAGGCTCGACGCAACAAATGAGAATTTTACTTCCCGCTTGTTCCCATCGCCACTGTACACGATTTTCGCTAATTAGCACCGAGCAGAAAAGTTTTTCACGAATTGCATACCACGATTCAGTAGATCGATGTAGTCTTATATGTTTATACGGTATTAAATAAATAGGGGAGACCTTAAAAATAAAATGGCATAACTCTGAAATTAATATAATTAACCCTTATTTGGGTACCCGGGTACTTTTGCACATTTTCTCACTTAAAATATTTGGTCTCCCGGTAAAAGGTACATTTTTTATCTGTTTGCTTCAAGTTTAGAATTTTCTTATCAGAAAATTGGACGATAAAGTAGACGACAATTGTGGCTATTGAGATAAGGGTTAAACAGAAATTGAAAGCGTAGTCATGAAAGTCACAAAACTTGTTACAAAAAGAAAAAGAATATTCTGTAAATAAGATTTTTCTCGTTACGCAGCAAGTTACTGTCCATCAAGTGTCGATAGAGATGAAAGAAAATCGGTCCAACGCTCGATATCAAATTTAAATCAATCCTATATTGTATAAATTAGTACACATCTGGTCACTACACCCGCAACGCTTAGACTCCACTATCAGTTTCACGGTATCCCTAACGTTTCACCGGTCACAAGTTAATCCACATCGGTTCGCAGCTTTCGTCGAATGGTTGTTTCGTAACGGAGCGCGCACGGGGGTCAGTTATGCGGAATTTCACGTATTGTCGCGTGAGTCGGGGCCCCACAGGGACGGCCACGACGGGAAATGGGCCATCCTGTTCTGGATATCTCGCGACTCTCTTTGCGCCCGCTGAGAGAAACGGAAAGCAACAAGGAGCTAAGGGTAGAGTGAGAGGGAGAAAGTGGGAAAGAGATGGAGTCAGCGGCGGCGGTCGGCGCCTTTTGATCTTGCCTGTAATCCCGTCGGGCCCCGCGGCCTCACTGACGTCATGAGTGGTGTCCGACGGCCGTACGTACGCGACGATCCCGCCTAAGTGTGCGGTGTGTGCGTTACACGTGCTTGTGGATATGTCCTTATGGGCCATCCGGATCCCACGGGGTGGGGGGATGTAAATCTCGCGGACTTGATGAATGACGAAACGGGACTACTTTGGCGGCACCAGAAACAGCCGGAGGACCGCTGGTGGGGTGCTCCTTTTTGAATTATGCCGTGGTAATTAGCAGAAGTTTTCGTAGCAGGTGTTACCGGGGGTTCTTGTAACGACAGGTTCATTACTTCGTCGCGATAATTATCAATTTTTAGCGAGTTGTTAGCCCCGTTCCTTATTTGTGCTCTGCCATTAGAACGTATTACGGACTTTCTTGTATCGGGGACGTCGAAGTTATCGTTTAATTAAATCGTCGAATTTTAATATTTTCGTGAAATACCGGGACACCCGTTACGTTGGTGTACAAAGTATTGCATGATTTCAAAGTTAACGTCATGTATTGGGAAAAATACACATATGTTCAACTTAGAGATTCTGGAATGAATCATTTTTTTTAGAATCTTGACGATGTTATAATAACTTTCGCGTGTGAGATAAGATTATATTAAAGTTGTAACGACAATGAACATAAGTAGCCATTTTCGAATCGAAGAGTAGAATATCGAGAAAATGTTGAAACGTACTTTTTAAATTTTTTGCCATCGAATCGAAAAGATAAACGGTGCTGACGTATTCGTGGATTTGAACAAGGTAGAGTTTGATATTTCGTCCAACACTATTCTAAAAGAAACGAGACCTCGTATTCGGGAAGACTTACGAGAATAACTACGAGAGCAATGCATTGGAAACAATGGTTCTTTATCGCATCCAATTACTCTTGTGCGTCGTAAACCTTAGGTATATCGCGGTAGTTTGCCATGAACCTTTTGCTGTTCAACGACACTCTTTTTCTCGTTTTAATGCAAATTCGCGGTGATTATAGGTAGAAAATCTTTGGACCGTAAGAGAAATTAATTGAGTGCGACAGAAGTGTAAGTGATTTACGCATGCCGCTACATCCACCCGTTATAATAATCTTCGTTTGTTATCTCTTTTATCGCAGGATGAATTGGGTTTTTATATTATTAAAATTTGTTCCTCTTTTAATACGTATCTCATATGACATTTTAAATAATTTTTGTAGTATCCGACAGGTATTACTTGTTTCAAAATTTTGACGTATTGGTGAAAGAATTGTCGTGGTTAATATTGTACAGTAGCGTAATCCTTCGCGTAATAATGCTAAAATAGAGTCTGTGTTACACATGATGATGTAGGTGCAATCAGAGCAGTAACGCAATACCATAATTGATCACCGTATCCATCTTAGTAATATATCACTGGATAGCACTTGATGAATTTACAACATTAGAAACTTTATTATTATCATTTTTATCGTGATTTCGTTATTATTTTTCGTATCGAATAAAATTTTCAACTTTGTTCCTATTATTTTATTAAACTCTATTAGTACTTCTTATTTATCTAATTAAGTCTGGATAATCTCGATGAAATTAAACATACCTACAACTGTCATAGTAATCATTTCTAACACTGAAGTCTCACTTCAATCAAATCATTTTTACATTACACATACTGGATAAATCGCTTTTCCCTCCACGCCACCGCCATGCTGCTTGCACCATACACATTACCAGGCATTCAAATCTCCTTACCTAGCCAATACAAACATCCGATGTAACGTAGAAGATCGCGAATCTGCGTGTGCACGAATGTCTTTCCATCTTTTGCAAACGTAAAATATAACACGTTATGAAAAGTGCAAGATGTAGAAATCTAGAAGGGAGAACCAATCATTGGAGAGAAGAGAAGGATAGGTTGTGCAAAATATGCAAATTAGAGACATGTAACTCTCGCCATTCACAAGGGAGCACCTTCAAGTGTCACTCGGTGATTTTGATGAAATTTACGTGTGATGTAGTTCTCGAAAAAATATTTGACACATATTTTTATGGGCCAACAACCCTCGAAGTTGTCAGTGTCGAAATGAAATAAAATAGAATATATAACATCTTATATAAATGCGCGAAAATACAATATCACCGTAATTATTGCGACCACTTTGCACTTTAGGTAAATTTTTAAACGAGAAGATTCTGAAAAACGAACTCCATCTCTGCGTGTATTTTCAAGAGAAGAGACTTGAACGAAGGAACTTCATCCAACTAAATCCTGACTCGAGTTTAACCACTACATGCAAAACCAGAACCATGACACACGACACGTCCTTTTTGCAGTTCTCTACTTCGCGCAAAGTCTCATAGTGGACCTCGTAAAAGGCCACGAAATTGGCAACAGCATCTTATTTCACTTCTTTCCTTCTTCTGGAGCTCCTCCCTTCTCTTCCAAGCCTCGTCAAAGGGCCACCGCTTCTTCTCGGCCTCTTTTTCACCAACATTTAGTTATCCGTTCGTGCAAAGATGTTTGCTTGACTTCGTGATTATAATTACGATAATTAAAGGGAACGCTGATTACAGGTAATTAGCAGCAGTTGAACTGTACCTCGCGTGCCACTGGATTTTCTGATCTGTCCAGGCTTATTTGATTGTTTTTGTTACTATTAAGTTTGAAGCCGTTCTGAGCCTTCTGTGTTTGCGTAAAATTATTTTCAAGTAAATTTCGTTCTCAAATCGTGATTTCAGAGATCAAATGTTTTAATTATTACAGTAGAAAAACGTCATTATCGTTTCGAAGAAATTAACAATCTATCTCGCGATCGTTCTTCTGTAACTAATTTAAAATGAATCGACCAAATTTTTTTTATATCACGTTCATCTCACATAAAGAATATATTTATTTTTCCTTTCAGGACAAGGCCGCGTGAATCAACTCGGAGGTGTTTTTATTAATGGACGTCCACTACCAAATCACATTCGCTTAAAAATTGTAGAAATGGCGGCAGCTGGCGTTAGACCATGCGTAATCTCGAGACAGCTAAGGGTTTCGCATGGTTGTGTATCAAAAATCTTGAATCGATATCAAGAAACAGGATCGATTAGGCCAGGTGTAATCGGTGGCAGCAAACCACGAGTCGCCACACCCGAAGTCGAAGCAAGAATCGAGGATATGAAGAGACAAAATCCCGGAATATTCAGCTGGGAAATTCGCGAGAAACTGATAAAGGTCTGTTGATAACGTCTGTATGGCATTATTAATCTGAATTTAACTTCTTTTTCATATCTTGCACGGTTTCTCAAATATTCACGATAATATGAAAACTCGTAATTTTTTAGAAGGGGTGTTTTCACCCCTGGAAACAGAAAATAGTTTCGTAATTAGCGTCACTTGAACTACACTCCTGCAAAGTCTCAAATTTTCCTGAATTTTCGGGTTACCAAACTTCCCTTGTCAATGATAAATTTGTATATCAAGATGCATGATTTATGCAACAGTTTAAAACGTATTATTGTTCAACAAATTTTCGAGATACCTTTATATGAATTTTAAATTTTCGGTTAAATAATAAAATTGCACAGTGAAAGTAGTAATAGTAAGAAAGTAAAATGTGATTGTTGCATTAGTATGCTAACTAGTCCAATGTGGTTCTGCCAGCAGGATGGTATTTGCGACAAAGCTTCCGCGCCCTCAGTTTCCAGCATTTCGAGGCTTCTTCGCGGCCCTACGAATCAAACTCGTCCTGGAGATGATCCTCGAAGAAATCATTCCATCGATGGAATACTCGGTAAGTTTACCACCTTATAAAATTTTAATTCTAGAATACCTAGAATGTTTTCTTTACTCCAAATAACGTTTTAATTCCAAGATCTCTTATCGCAATTTTGTAATTGAAGCAAAGAGATTTCTCACAAATTTTCGAAAGTGATACGTGCAAAATTCGCAAACAGCGTCCTCGTTTTAGCACCATATACACTATTCCGCTAGCGTAATGAAATGCTTGAGGTAATCGAGCGATAAGCGTAATTACAGCATGCAGCTACGTTAATTGAGTTAAGGTGACCGTAATGATAAGTGCCGCATACATATTAGCAGGATTTTTTACTGTAAGAGGAAAGATCGTGATTTGCGGCTGCTTGCTTATGACAATACTACTGTGCACAGGAATGTTTCTTCCCTCTTGTCGACAATGTTCAATGTCTTTTGTAGATTTGAATTCGATCTCAGATTTCGAAAAAACCAATTTAGATTTAGATTTATTGTTAATATATGGATCATTCGTGGAAATATAATTCATCGGCCATTTTTTCTCTTTTATTACCAACTATATACTGTGTAATTAAAAAATGCATGATTTCAAGAAGAAAAATGAAGTTTTCCTAAAAAACTAATAAATTTCTCTAAATTCCATTCGGAAATAAAATAACACAAAAAATATTTTAACACAATACAAATGGAAGAAAAGTAACGCAAGAATGCTTCAACATAATTTTGCCATACGATAAGTCATATTTTTCTACACGTACGTTAACGCAAAAAGAATAAAATAAAATCTCTCATAAAAGAAGAAAATGAACGAAATTTTAGCTATTTGAAGACTGAATAGTTCCGAGGGCAGGAAGATATTAACAGAAACATAGGTTCGACCGGCGACGGACGTAAAGGGGGGTTCCTCTGTTTTTTATTTATTGGTGGCGGTGAAGCTCGCGAAGAAATATTAGGCGTCCCGTGGTGCGTAGATGTGTTGAGTTTATTACCTTGGCGGGAAGATTTAGTTTTGATTAGATGTACGTCTGGAATTGCGGCCCGATGTAAGAACGCCTGGGATGGCCTACCTGTTGATCAGTTTCCACCGCGCCGCACACAAATCTTCATTTTGTCGTCCGGTCAAGTTGCGTTGCACAGGCTGGCTCTTGAAATCTAGAATGCGTTATAAGTATATTCTAAGTGAAATGTTGCATGATTCGGCGAAGTTTATATTCCCACGATCATATTTCCTTCGAAGGAAAATAACAGCGATATAACTGAAGGATAGAATTGTACGTAGGTATAGGTACTTTCTTTTTAATATACAATATCCTGTGTAGTTAGGTATTTAGTTTACTGTACGCATAAATCGATTCTTCTTACTGTTCTGCAGGTATAAGGAATTTTAAACGAGAAGTATTTCGTGTTTCGTGTTCGAAACTTCGTTTATCCTGCGCGAGGTTTTGTGGGTAGACTGAAACTCAATTTCTCGAATTTAAAAAATCCCTTCAGAGATATATTTCGAAAGGTTCAAGCTACCCGAAAATGCAAAACGCCAAAAATGGCAAAATTCGTCATTTTCTAAGCGAAAAGCTCCTCAATCGCAGCCGTTGGTTTTCACAGGTTCTCGTCGATAGAGGAATTCGTATAAATAAGAAACGAGGGAATAATATCGAAAAAGGAAGGAAAATGTTTAGTGCGAAAATTAATATCTCTGTTTTATAGCATCATTTGCGCGTTTCATACTTAGCATTCTATATTTAACGGTCGTAACCAACTATAATCACTTTAATAATCAGAAAAGATTTGAAACGGTAGCTGTGAACACTATTATCTAGTAGTACTAAGTGAATGGTAATCGTACATTAATTACCGAATCAAATGTTTTAATATATTAGCTGCATACTCTTCTTGTATCAACTAGTGAATAAATCTGAGAAATTTTAGCGCCCAGTATTTTAACATTTTTAATATTAGAATAATATTTCTTTGTTTAATTATCCTTTCCTTTTTCTGGTTAAAAAAATATTTCTCCTTAAAATTGAACGTGTTAGTCCAACAAAAAAAAAGTAGAAACAGAAATAAACGCAAAAACTCCAGTTTAACCCTTTCGCTGCGGCAAATTTAAATACGTAAAGTATGTGAAAAATTGCAAATTTTTAACCGCGACTGTCAAATTTGTATCCTTTTAAAATTTAATTTATCAAATTAAGATGGACGCGTGTAAAGGATAAAATTAAGTATTAAATTAAAATGGAACTGTGCAAAGGATAAAATTAGTATTAAATTAAGATGAAAGTGCGCCAAAAGGGCTGCAGCAGCAGTACAGTGATAGAAAATTTTCGAAACGCCTATAGGCGCCAATACGTAGCAATGAAAGGGTTAAGAGGGTAAAGGTAGAGCAAAAAGGGAAGATGCAGAGACGAAAAGGTGGAGCGCATATACACACGCGGCGTGTGGTCTCCCGTGTACCGTATCCGGCTGCCTCTAATCTTACAAACCGCCAACATCCAGTGCCAGCCTGCCGTTTTCTTCGAGGAACAACAGGCCGCTCTATTGATTTAGATGTTTCGCTGATCTAAAGTGGTAGTCAAGCGAAACTGTCAGGGATAATGATAATAACTGTCTACCTTTCTCGACAGTAATTGTTTACATGGTTTTGGACGATTAACTCTTTGCGGTTCTCTCTCTTGCTGTGTACTCTTGTGATTCATCACGGGGTCCATTGTGTAACAACATTGTTTTGCCGATGCGAACAGTTCGTGATATTAACAAGACTTTTTTTTTTCTTGACTTTCTTTCGGCTGCGTTTAGAAACATGTTACAATTCAATTGTACTTTCATATCTGTGGAACTAGTAACATGTGTATTTATTATTAAGTTAGTTATTTAATGTTGCATTGACGACCACGAAAAATTATAGAAAAACAATTCTACTTACACACAATATGTAAATTAGTTAGACGTATTAAATTTCTTTAATCAATTTTGGCTATTTGAAGGACCACGTGAGTCAAAATGATCCATTAGCAAGTTCTTAAAAATGTGTTTTTATGTAACCAAAGCGTGATTGAAAATTAGATTCATGTCGATACTTAATGAAACGAAAAGAAACAGATAAGAATTGTTTGAAAAGAATTAATTAGATAAATAAGATATGAAGATTCAGTTAATGTGACTTAAGTTTATAAAGCTTGCAAATCAGTATATCTCCTTTCATAAGAATAAAATGTAAAATACAGGTGTGGACGCGAATACTTGAAAACCCCATTGCAAAGCACCTGAAAATGTTGATAATCTTTTTCAAGAAGCATAAAACAGGCAATGTTATAAGAAGCATAAGTTTTGTTTGAACTTGTGACTCTATTTTCTCCACTTTCAACAGATGACATTTTTCAATTATTGCAACTAATAAATCACCTTTCCAAAGCTTCACTAATACATAAAAATTGCAAAAAAGAAAAGAACAACTTCTTCACATTTTGATACCGTTATATGTTTTCTGAAATAATCGATTACATTGAAAACTCTTATTCCATCGAACACGTTAATTCACTCACAAGTGAATCAGGGATACACGGTGATCGATCAAACACATTTTTCACTATTTGCTGAAACAAACCGCGATATTGGCGAGCGTTGACTAGCCGTCGAAAGCGTGAAGGCTTTGAGAAGTGGCCAAGGTGTTCCGTTCAAGCCGTCAGAAGGATTTACGGCTGCGGCGAGGTCTTTAATCTCGACGAAACCGCTGTGCACTTCGCAGCCTTGAACTTCATGAATTCTAGCTGACGTTCGCACGGGTGCTATTGATTTAGATGTACCTGCACGTCGATCGATCCACTTAATTCAGGAAATCGACGCGTGAAACATTGAATCAAGGCGAAAGCAAAGACGAAACTGAAATTAACATAGATCCCTCTTATCTACGTAAGAAAACCCTAAACTACAAAATTCTTTACCTAATACACAACTCGAGGTTAATTTAGAAAATTTCAAATGTGGTACCGTTTTTGCAATTCAAGCTTTTTTGACCAAAATCAACGCCTGTCAGGTGATCTAACAGAATCAAGAGGTATCGGAAAACGATGAAGGAGGAACGATCTGCGAGTCGCGTTAAGGAAAAGAACACGAAGAAACGAAAAACGGTCACGTTAAAATAGGCGCGTAATTACGTTGTCATAAAACTCGACGTCGATTGGAGAGACGAAAGAGTTTCCGGTATGGACCAGAGGCTGGGTCAGAAAGGAAGTGTATCTCGTGGCTTTCGTTTAGCTCGGGTGGGACGGGACATGTCAAAGAACTTAATTTCTTCGCGGCGGACCCTAATTTCTCCGGTGTTTTAGTTTAGTATAGGTTCGGCTGGCACGGCTGTAATCAGGAGGGTCTTAATGGTAGGTTGCCCAGTCCGGCGTGTGAACTGTGGGCGTGAACGACTCGCTTCCTATCTTCGGTATCTGACGTGCAGCACGTGCTGGACTGGAAGACCTTCTTGCCGCTATTAAGAAGCGTGCTCCGTAACATCTCTCGGATCTCTTGGACCTTACCGTCGATTCCTTTCACTGATAAGACGCCTTGCTCGCGCGTACCGAGGAATTTCCAATTCCTTCTCTTCACGTGGCACACCGAAGAAAAGGCCGGTTTCCGTAATTAATTTTACCATGCGCACGTTAGGCGGCGGGAGAGAATCGCCGAGCGATAGGCAGTGATATATGCAAATCAGGCTTTTCGCTAGAATAGAAAATTTCCCTAAAAATGGGATAAAGTGTGTTCGTATGTGCCAACCTCTATGTGCAAAATTATTGAAATAAAAAGAAATGATTTAGTTTGTATTCTCGTCGCTTAATTACCTTCTCTAGCTAGGGTGGTACGAGAAAATTTTTATGAATACTCGAGATGAAATAATTTTTTTCAATTTATCTCACACTTATTTGCATTTCGTTACGTTCGTCTTTCAGGCGGTAGCAGTGGCGACGATTCAGACACAGAAAGCGAACCAGGAATTGCCCTGAAGAGGAAGCAACGTCGAAGCAGGACTACATTTACCGGCGAACAACTTGAACAACTTGAAGCAGCTTTTCACCGAACCCAGTATCCAGATGTTTACACCAGAGAAGAATTAGCTCAAAAGTAACTAATTATACGTCTTATTTGCACACGTACATTTAACATAAATATGCATAATTATCTGTACCAACAAAAATAACTTTATCATAAAACATGAGCAACCAAAATATATGAATTTTCGGAAATAAAAGCGAGGTTTCCTTCGTATTGTTGCTATAGAACGAATCTGACGGAAGCTCGCGTGCAAGTGTGGTTCAGCAACAGACGAGCCAGGCTTCGCAAGCAACTGAACAGTCAACAGTTGAACGCTTTCAACACAATGAGCTTGCAATCCTTTCAAACACAGCACTACGGTAGCAGTGCTGAAAGTTATCAGAGCTACGGCCAAGCATCGGTAGCTGCGGCCGCAGCAACCACGGCTGGTTATCCACAACACTACAACTATAGCGAGAATTACTATGCTGCTCAGCAACAGTGGCCAAGGCCGACCGCTGACAACTATGGGTAAGTTATAATTTACTAAAGAAGTTTTTTTAGAATAGTTGGAATAACGCTGAAGATTATAATCGGTCTATTATGCCTCATAAGTAAAATACTAGAAGAAAGGACACTAATTGATAACAGATATTTTTTTTTAAATATCATTCATTTTATACTTATTGCTTTAAGTTGACCAAAGCTATTCTCTGTCTATCAAATAATTCAAGTAAATTTTTGCATTCATTTCATAATACATTTCTCTAAGTAATTGCAAAGTTAATCATATTCTGACATACTGGACAGATAAATATCGAAACATTTGAAGATCTTTTTTATTTAAATTAGAAATTTTAATAAGTTTAATATTTATGAATGGCTCAAATCTCTATCACCCTTAATTATATTCTTGCTAAACAGAGGGAATTTTCTGAAACATTTTTCAGACCATAAGAAAAACAGATACATTTGGAATAGTCTTTTTAAACAATACACATCAACCTGCCACTGCTGTAAGAAGCATAACAATATCGATTCACTTTTTTAAAGTAACAAACCTGAATGGTTAAAAACGACTAATTTCATATTTTAAGTGTTGAAATAATTACCGCCAAGTATCAAAATTAAAATATGTACTTACATACGTAGAGAGAAAGAGAAAAAGTGTATTTCCGATAGGCAAACGAAAACGATCTTCCGTAAAAATGATAAAATTACATTATTCTATGAACCAGTCAATATTACGTGCTATAAAAACAAGAGTGACCGAAGGAAATGTCGACTTGTTCAAAGTCGAAAGCACAAGAAGAAGGACCCCCCACGAGGCAGGGTCCAGTGTCGAAGCAAAGTGCACGTTGTCCGGGTAGAGATACATTATCCCGGACGTTTAAAGCGGGCGAACCACTCAGAGGGGAAAGCATAGTAGAAAAAAGGAAAGAAATCTGGGAGATACTCGGTGAGAAGAAAGAGCGAGCAGTCTGTGCTCGCAGGGTGTTTCGAACAATTAATTCAGCCATTGTGGCGTAATAATAGGTTGGCGAAATGTTCGCTTGCTGCAGCGTGCTGTTACACGCCGAGTGCAGAGGCCAATTCGCTGCAACGCTGACCGCAAACGATGAAAGTCTTAGGAGAAAGACGGACAAATGGAAAAAGAAAGAGTAGCGGCAAACCATAAGTGGACTCTGAAAACTAGAAAGGATAATGAGGGAGGAAAATCAAACTAGCGGAAGGTATTGCATCTGTTTTGGCAAATTTAATATTTACAATCATATTTATCTCATCACTTATTCCCTTATTTACATATTATGTCATCCTGAAGATTCCCGCGGTTTCAAGCCGTTCATTTTGAAAAAATAATAATTTCCATAATGTTCGATACACTTTTGCAATCTCGCTATCATATTTAGAAGATATTATACGAAATTAGTTTTTACGATAATTATGCAGAAAAGTAATACGCAAAGAGGAGAATGAAATAAGAAAAAACGATAGCAAGGAATGAAATGTATTAGTGTTTTACAGAATAGAATTTAATTAGAAAATAACTGATACCTTCCACAGCCCTCGCTCTTTTCACTTTCATTAACGTCTCTTTTAATATCACCCAATTTCACCTTCGTTCCAATTTATGCGAAACCCTGCCCACAGAAGAGGCCAACAAAATGCATAAAGATATTAAACGAGTAACTCCTTGAATTGTTATTCGAGGCTTCCGGGTTATAACTGTGTCCGATGGTTATTATTATAAATTCCAGCAATTCGCCAAAGTTGCAGTTAGCTTCGTCAGAGCCTATACTCTAATAGAGACACGCTAATAATTTCTGATTAATAGCTGCCATATCGGGTGTCTTAATTGGTCAGCTGTTACCCTGATGAGACTAATTGCAATATTGACAAAACATCGAAATTTAATAAACATTGGACTAACCCGGAAGCCTCGAATGATCGAACAATCCTTAAAAGTCTCATGAGTAACTTTTTCACTGCATCCTGAAATTATAAAGATTTCATCAACTTGCTGTGACGAACAGAAGGTAAATAAAAATTAAAAACACGAGATTCTCTTATATCTATAAAGTAAGAAAATAACAAAATTGAAAAGAGTGCGGAAAAGCGGTGGAAATAAAGAGCATACTAAAATCCTTCGTATCTATAAAGCAAAAAAAAAAAAAAAAAAATAAGACATTGATCGAAAAGCGAAGCGGATGAAAGAGTGCGGAAAAGCGGTGGAAATAAAGAGGGAGCGAAGTAATGGGAGGAACAGGTGAGATGAAGGTTTTGCCGTAGAGAGTGAGCGGGGAGGGGGAAAAAAGGAGGAGGGAGGAAAAGAGAGTTGTTGGCTCAGAGAGGTGAAGCGGTCGAGACCCCACCGACACGTTTTCTGTGTGGTCCTCAATTATGTTGCTTCTTCGGCCCCCGTAATGAAACGCTACTGGCTAATAATCCAACGCGGGTCTTGATCTTCGCCGATGATCCAGCTTTAACCGGAGGACTTCGCGGCCTTTCCTTCACCCCGGAAGCTATTCGACCTCGGTTCGGCTGCCTCTACGAATTCCTTCGGCCCGGGACATTACCACCAACATTTTTCATTCATTTTATCGTCCGCTGAAGCTCGTGTACATACTACACGCGTGCAGAAATATTATCAAGCGAGATTATGCACTATGCGATTCCTCCAACTAATATTATCAGTCGTTGCTTTCGTGATGCACGAGTTTTGTGGCTTTCATTTGCGTTTAGTATGCAACAATCTTCGTGCTCCTTCCTTTTCTTGGTATGCGAAATCAATTTTTGTTTACTGAATTGGTTTTTTCAGGAGTTTGTGCATATGGAAATGTATCTCAATTTTTTATGGAGAAAAAATATTTTCAAGAATTTCTTCTGCATCGATAAATTTTTAATACGAATAAACGAATGTGGAAAGAAAAATATACAGTGCTACTTAAAAGTCACAAGTTGGCGTGAATTTTTTGTGGAGAAAAGATACTTTCGAAGATTTCTTTTGCGCCCATAAACTTTCGTTTGAAAAATATCTTTTGTTAAAGTATCAGAATTAGCTAAAATATTATGGCGACCGATTTATGTCAAACCTTGTATATAAAATATAGAATATAAATAGTTTAATTTTCTTTAGTTATCTTCGTCCTTTGATCGTTACCGCCAAGACACACCTAAAACTCTACCAATCCCAGAATAAATAAATGATCGTGTTCTAAGTATCGACGAACCAACGACGAGTCAACTCGTCTTCCCCAGTTAACAAATGAAATCGTCTAAACCGCATTACGGTTCAATCAGCAAGAAATCCAGTTATTCGTTCACTCGCAAACACCTTCTATATACAAACCAATCGAATCTACAGGATTGTCTAGTCGTTCGCTTCTTGCTCCGCCGGCAACGAACATCCTTAATTTTAGCAAGCGTCAATTATAAATTATTCATTCTATCGGGGGGTTCACCGGAATTCATTAACACTTCCATAGAAATAAATGTGATTTGTGGCCGTGGTCGGCTAGGGGAAAATAGATTCGTAAACCGGCTACGGGGACAGTCGATAAATCCTCGGTGCGTCGTCTCGAAGGAGGAATTAAGAGAAGACGAGAAAGGACGAAGGGGCGAAGAAACGAAAAAGAAATGGAGAAAAGGTGAACACGAGAGGATATAAGAGACGGAGGAAGTTGAGAGAAAGAGAGAGAGAGAGAGAGAGAGGAATTAAATGGTTCCAGCATCGGCACGCTTTAGGGTCCTTAACCGTGCTGCTGTGCCGAAACGGTCAAAAGGGCCGCTACTCCGTTTTGAAATCGGTTGTTGGCAGCCTCGACACGCCCTAAACGATTCGTACTCGTACGTGTGCGAGTGTGAAGCTTGTGCGCGGCCGGTATCGGCTTGCAAACGAGCAGCAAGCTTTGATTGCACGGCAAAACGAGGGAGAACTGGCCGGCGCGGCGGTTACTTTGAGATTCGCGAAACGGAAAGAGAATTTCATCCAGAGGTTATGCGCGCTTGGCGAAACTGCTCCGCGTTAATAGTTTGATACGGTCGCCCCCCGTTCGCCTGAAACCGCCGCGTCGTCGACCTGCTTTACATTCGGTGTAAAACGAGCATAAATTCGTTGCTTTCTACGCCGGTGATCCTTGCGACCATCTCGCCTTAGTCCGGGCTTTATCGAGACGGTTTTTAAATACGCGATCAATGAATCCACACGAGATGGACGAATATTTTGCTTAATAAGAAAACGGAGGGCAATCCAGATTTGTTGCGAACAACTTTCCATTTCTACCATTTTTAGCAAATACGCTCTCGTTACTCTTCTTTCAGAATGTCCACTCAAATTTAAGTAATCATTGGGTAATGCAATTTTTAATCAAACAATATTACTGTAAAGAACTTTCGTTTCGAGCTTGTGCAAAATCCTGCTCTATATTCAACCGATAACGATTTCTACTATTTTTATCAAAGAATCACTCGTAACTCTCCTTCCAGAATATCCACTGAAATGTAAATAATCATTCGTAATGCAATTTTTAAACAAACAATATTACGAAAAACACAGCTTCACAGTAACACGGGGAATATTCCTTTCGGAAAGTACGAGAAGTCGTCCTACGACTGTAATTACGATGATTAACTTCGCCTCTCTTTACCCTCGAACAGACTGAAAGAAACGTTCGTTGCAGAGCTCTGTTATTTTTTTGTTGCAGGTTATTCAATGCCTCTCACTACGGCAGCAGCAACCTCGCCTCTAACTTAACTTCCAGCAACCTGAACCTGGGCAGTTTAAGCGGTAGCGTCAGCCCTACAGCGTCGAATATGAGCGCCTGCATGGTTCAGGGCGCATCGTCGGCAGTACCAGCCTCAACAGGGATAAATCATCATGTGACACCGCACAGCCCTAGCGAGGCGAAGAGCGGCTACCCCTATTTGGGCGGAATAGAGTCCCAGGTCTGTGGCAGAGTTCACTGAACCGTACAGTACGTTTAAGATGGCGAAAAGAAGGAAACAGTAATGGAGTAACTGAAAATTTTTTACGTTAAAGTAAGAGAAACTAACACAGGAGAAATACCTTCTTTGTGAGAAAGTATGCTATGAGAAAATACATTTAATGCAAAGGATATTAAATGTTATTGCAATATTTTATTGGATCATCGTGAAATTTCTTGCGGTCTTTGGTCGTTCATTTTGAAGATAAACGTAACTTTATTGAAATTAAACATTTTTCGTAAAGTTTAATACACTATCTTAAATAAAAATGTTTAATTTCAGAGAAGTTTAGTTTTGTTAAAAGAACGCTTAAAAGCGCGGGAATTTTCAGGATGGCCTAATTTCTATTGGATTAATTTAAGAAAAGATAAGGGAAGTTCAAGTGCTCCCTTTCTTTCTCTCTCTGTCTCTTTTAACATTCTAAATTATAATTTCAGCGCTGTCACATTGCAAATATGTATATAACGTAAAAGTAACTATTTGATTGTATATATTACGAGAGCATACATTGCTTTTTTTCTTTTCTATAGAAATGAAATGTATGTATATTATCTATTAGCGTTGAATTATCATAATTGCGTTTAAGACTTTGAAATTTTATTCGTTCCTCGTAAGGAACGCCTCTAAAATGTCAAATGTATGTAGAAGTAACGTATTTATTCATTAGTACATGAATAATCGATGTTAACGAATTTATTACATTCGCTATAAAAGAAGCTTGACAAGAGACGAAACTCTGCCTTAAAGTTAAATGTTCAAAGATTCTGAGGTAAAGTAGAATAAAGAATACTCAAAATAACCATTTTTACGAAATGTTGAAACACAGATGTTTGATAAAAAAAAAAAATTGCAAAAAAGTCTCAAGGTTTATTAGTGAAAGAAAAAAAAAAGGTACACGTTCATTATGTAATAGAAAACAGACTTTGTAATCGTAATTTAAAAAGCTTTCTACTGCTACACGAAACCTGTTACGGTAATAAATTGAATTCCTAAGTGTAATACATTCTTGAAAAGTAAAGATCGTATCATAAACGGTATATTGCAACACTCTTAATTCGCCACGATTTATATCACTTTAATGAACGAAAAAGGAGAACGATAAAGTAAGATACGGTTTCTAATTACACCTAAAATATCCTATTAAATCAAATTACATGCATTTATTGTCGGTATATTTTCGAAGGAATTCATTTCAAATTAGACATTCCATCAAAAGTTCCATATTTTCTAGCTTTATCTTGCCTTCGGTCTCGTACATTAGACACAAAATTGGATTATCTCGATTGCTAATGTTGAATTATAAATCACAACCGTTTCTTCAACCGAACAAAGTGAATTTTTGCAAATTCAATTTCACGTGATTTACTACGTTCTACTTTAATACAGCAATTTATAATAAAACGTGCCTGCAGATTTATCACACCTTCGAATGCACATCGACACAAGAATAAACACTACGAATAACTTATAGACATTTCGAACAGTTCAAGCATCGTTGAATTTGTACGAAATCCAACAAAAGGAGATTAAATCTTAAGAAAAACGGAAGATTAAAGAAACTTAAACTTTTAACTGGGGAGCTAACTTGCCAAAAGCCAAATGAATTACGACTTTGTTCTTTTATATCTTAAAAGAACAAATTATGTATCAGGTTCAAATTAACGTGTGTCATTTTCGAAGTTCCACGACGAGATAACTCGTCTTGCACGCTAGAGAAGCATTCCGCGACGACAAGTTAACTCGTCATCTCCTGTTAAAGGGTTAGTTATCTATCAAGATTAGCTTCTTACCTACTTTTCTTTACCTTATCGTACCGTACATGTATCACACAATACGAAAGTGCCTACTAAAATCGACACAAATGTATATAATTAATCCACGCATGCATGATCCACTAGCATCTCGATTTTTACGACTAATAAATCCTTGTCTAACCAGAAACACTAACCGAGTAGTTTACGTTAAATATACTCTAGCCAGTTCACGTAGATGTTTAAGCAAGCAGCTCACTGGAAGTCTCCGAAATCGGGGGGGGATAGATTCGTACGTTATGACAATTAGTAATTAGACGAGTTTATTGTAAACAAAGTGCCTCGGTGTTGATGTAATGCCTTAGAATTGCCTTCTTTTTTTTCCCAGCGGGCTAGTTGGAACTACATGATCAAAGCGTTGTTCGTCAAAGGAAGTTGATCGAATTTACATGATAAGCAAGTTTGTACATATACATGCAAACTTATTTGATAAGAGCCTGATTATAAAAACTGGCGGCGTTGAAAAATTATTACGAAGCATGGTTGTTCGGTTACCGAGGAAAAAGTTGTCGTTTGCTACCTCGTCGATTGGATGATTTATAAAATGGCCAGTTAATTAGAGGTTGTTGCGTACAAATACCTACGATTTCATTCGATGCACATAATATTCTTGTAATTCATTGATTATAATAATTGCCGATGTATAATTCATTGTTGCGGAATAAAAGAACGTTTAAAAGGCATATCACCATTTTCTTCCGTTACCCTTTTTCACTGTATTAATAAAACTGTGAAATATTTCATTATTTCCAGAGCGTAAGTATGAATAATACCGTAACGCAATTTTATATTTAGATGGTGTTAAGGATTCTTCGTTTCATGTTGCAGAGAAAAAAGTTAATCGTCACAGTGAGAAGATAAAAATTATCCCAAAAATAGAACTTACCTCATCGTCGCTTATTAGTCGCTCTGGAAAATGCATACAAAATTATCAACTGGGGAAGACGAGTTATAGCCAAAATTTAGATCAGAAAATTTCATTTATTGAGGGTCTCTTCATTTTTAATCGCACTGTTATGTCTGTGTTAAATATAAAATACATTATATTCACATTTGCAAAAATTAAGACGAAGTAAGAGGTTACTATTTTTAATCATTTTTAATTATAAACTGGAGAGACATTTTAGATTTGGATTTATAAATACACTGTGCTAATGTTACAGATCATTAGCTACCAATCGGAAGTTTTAATTGGTCAATTAAACATTATCAGTGTGTCCTTAATATCCCGATAAAGGTACCTGCAATGTTGACAAAACATCGAAATTTAATTGCCATTAGACACTCCTCTAACCCGGAAGCCTCGAATAACAATTAAAATGTTCCGATGTCACACAAAAAATTTTAAGACATTTAGAACACAAGGCATTAATTACTCCACCGACATATCAAGCTGTTCATCTACGATCTGACCCAATACAGATATTAAAACTCGGTAAACTCTCTCTTCTCCGTAATTCGACGGTAAAAGGCGTGGCCATTAAATTCCAGTAAAACGACTTGCTTTCAATTGGTCCCGATTCCCGTTGACTTACTTTAAACAAACTCTGATCAACTCCCCAACGGTAGAGACACTGGCTTTCGGCAACGGAGAGACTTCTCTTAGGAGAAGGAGAGCCGACAATCGGACGCTTAGTGACAACGAGCAATCAGCCTGCCGTATATCTGTTGTTGCTGTCGCCACGCATTTGTGGCCCATTGTGTCGTCAAAGTAGGTGGTCGGCCTCTCGCTTTCTGCCTCCTTGACACAAACCATTACGTATCGCAACTATCGTTCGGTTCTTTTGACTTTTGACCTGGAACGATACGCCTGTACACTGTAAGTTAATCCTATCAATGCTTTCCCTCTGTGCGACAATTTTCCTTTACGTCCCGCTCCCTTTGTTTCGCGATGAATAGAACGGTTTTTAAACTCGAGTCGCGACGTTTCGTGAATATTTTACGGAGATAATGTGGAAAATTTTTAAGTAAACAGCTTTATAATGTTTATGACCCTTTTCTCGTATTACTTTCCTTTTCTTAAATAATTTGTTTTGGTTATATGTACTTCGGGCTCCTTACTTCGGTAGTTTGACTTGCTTGAAAGTTAGGATTATCTTCACTTTATGAAGACTTTTATGCGGAATTAATGCAATCAACTAATGGTGAGGTATAAGAAACTCAAAGACGAAAGTTGAAAATATTTTTGTAATTTTATGCAACCGAGTGGAAATCTATTGAAACCTGCTGAGTTTTATTAAAATTTGCTATTATTCTACTAATATCTGTTGAAATCTTTCGAAACCGATGGAAATCTACTAAAATCTACTTACTGAATTGCCATTACACGTTTAATATAAACTTATTTGACACACAAAAGTGATAAAGTTATTAACTTATTTAATTTTTTCTAATATGTGACACTAACTTTGGCGAAAAAATCTAACTTAAATCATATAATACTTTCTACAACGTAACGTGTGTCCTAATACAAACGAACGGTCACAGATTTCAATTTTCGAACTATCACGGTCAATTTGAAACAAATCCTCCCTAACAAGGATTTTCCTCCGCTCCCGACCTACCACATTACACGGCAAGGTAAAAAAGTTTGGAAAGAACAGATTGGCCAACAGAATGTCAAGCACGATTGCCAAAGGGAGCGAGAGCAGTGGAGGTACAAAGGGGCCGCCGGCTAAGTAACCTCACACCGCGCCCAGAAGGGATGAAGTGTGGGGCGGGGATCATTGAATAGCGAATCAGAATTCGAATGAAAACGATATGTGGGGTCTGAGGAAGCCTGAATTCGAATCCGTGAGCGTCCATACACGTGTCCATAGTTCGCAAGTTTTTACGTTTTTTGATAAAATCAGACCATTCTGCCGAACGCCGAATAACAATTACTTAATCCTTTAATTACGGTAATTATTAGTTGGTAATTTGAACGTTCGGTTATTTACCTATTTTCATAACTTTTAAAAACATTGCATTATACGAAATTATTCATTAAAAATATTAAATTCGTTCTACTTTTGCAGTCATAATTTTAACTTAGAGTAAATTAGAATGATTAAAATCACAAATAGGATGAATTAAAAGTGGCATTTTTCGTTTGGTTTTTTGCAATGAGGCACGAAACACGTTTTCCAATCGCAACTTCTCAAAATGGCCATAATTTTCATACGAAACGTT